CCTTTGGGCGGGGCTTGGTCATAACATGCGACCACAATTTGACATTTGCTTATTGGCAAAGCTCGGTGTGGATCCCCTTTCACACTGAGAGAAAAGTGAGTGAATCTATGTATTGTGTGTTCTTGTTCATAAATAACCAAACGTATAATGCATTATCTACTTGAAGCATTTCAAGCTTAAAATACACCAAATACATTATTTAGCATAGAGGGGTACCAACCAGTTTAATTTGATGGTAAGTGTACTATTATTTCACTTAGTATATGTGGGTGTGACCTGAATACGACGAAGTGGGCAATGGAAGAGCCCGTACTGGTGCATACTAAACTGCGGTTTGTGGTCCATATCATATCGTACCTGAGCTAGCGACTCACAGGCGAAAAACCCCTTAGGAGTCTGCTTTGTGTGAGATGTTTTGCCTCCTTTGTCTATCTCTATGCCCCTTTCTTTTTGTTTCATAGAAAAGCGGGTTCAATCCCATTCAAAAGGAGGATATATGCTCTGAGAAGTGGCCCCGAACTGTTGACCGATTTAATTATGATTGCCGGCCTGCGAGTCTCGGTTAAGCCGAAAACAAATGGCAAACGTTGGTCGACCGAAGGAGGCCACGGAGGCAGATCAAATAGAGGGCGAAGGAAAATGGCCGAAAAGGAAACCACAATAGCCATTTCAGTCCATTAGCTGTTAAGCCAATGACAGGACAACACGGCCAGGACAACAAAAGCAGCAAAAACTGCGACGGGAGCAGCAGCCGCACGTCGTAATAATGTCGTCAAAGTGCGGCTCACCTGCTAAACTCAGCCGTTGCCACAGCTTTACACCGTGGGAAAAAATAAATTTGGTTCAACATTTAGTTTTGAGAATTAAAATTGCACAAAAACAGTTTAGTAAACCAATTACGAGTTAGATTGTAATAAAATGTTCAACAACATGTCTAATTTTTATAAGAAAGTCTACTTTTTTCCTTGTAACGAAAATAGGAGTTCGTTGTTCCCCTTCAAAGTTATGACCTGAATCATTATAACAATTAATTAGAGGCTTCTTTTTCTTCCTGTGCACTACGTTTTCCAGCACCCCGCCGTTTCCCACCATGAAAAGTTGCCACCTGCAGCGGCGACTGTTGAAAGCTTGGTTTCCCCGTTCCTCTGCATTTATTTCAGCATGGGGTAAAGTAGGACAAAGTAGGACTCTCACCCCTGGAAAGTTGGCCTGGTCAGCAGCCCGATTGTGGGGCTAATGAATAAATGAAAATGTCGCCGTGCAATGGCGAAACGAGCGAACCGGAAATGCGCATTTCAAATGCGAGCGCCATGTTTAATTTCCAAATTACACCTCCCAGCACATGTGTGTATGTGCGGCTGGCAATTAGTCGCGATTGGCAGCAAATTTGTACCATTTACCTGGTCGCACCTCTTTGTATTTAGGGTCTGCCAATGCAAAGCGGAAATATGATTTGTGTTTCAGTTTCGAGCAGCGGAAGCGGAAGTTGTTGCTCGCATGTCGAACGGATCAACACCCAGCACTCTCTGCACAAAGTATTACACTCTGTATGTGTGGTTAAGGTCATAAAATTACATGCATCAATGTATTTGTGCACGCACACATGTATATATTTAATTGTTTCCTTTGATACGTGGGTCGTGGGTCAGCTCGTTTGTTATGCAAATTGATTGTTAATTGAAACCCTAATTGTTCATTTGGGGAGAAGAAAACACGATTAGGATTAAGGAACTGGAAGTCCCTTCACTATTACTGTGGATTTAAATTATTAGGACCTCACTATGATGTTGCCAACTCATCAGAGCTTAATAACAAACAAAAAGCATTGCCTACTTTTAAGCCCAACTCGAAACCAAACTTTGCGGTTAGATAAAACCCACCCAACTTAAACAAAACTCATTGGCAAACTTTATAATTAGTTGTCCTTTAAAGGGGATGCAAATTTACGGATTTCTTCCTTTTTTAATTCTGCTGACGCTGCACATTCGCAATGACCGGGTTATAAATTAGAATTATATTGCCGTGAGCTGTCAATATATCGACACGAGGAAAAAAGGGAAGGGAATGGTCCCTAATGTCATAGTGAGCCCCTCACACAGGGGAGCTGTCGTATCGATAAGAGCTCACTTCATCTGTTTTCAAAGATGCATTAAATAGACGCCCTAAAGAAGGGATACACATCATAAAATATAAATTACTTTTTTAGCCACCGATAGACGTCTAATTCAAAAACATACAATTTAAACTACGCACTGTGCTGATCTGTATGTAAACTTTTGGGAATCTGTAGCACTTCGATTTTCCAAGAGTATTCAGCAGCAGCTCACACAATCCAGAATTTTCCTCACTCCCACAATTTTCCGGTGCTTGTCAAAGCCATTTACCATCACAAGGCTGCCTTGACTTTTTGCCCCCACCACCTTTGAATTTAAGAACGCCCGCCTTGGTGAAACTCGATGCGCAGAATAAACGTTATTTAAGTTAATTTTATTGCTGGCATTTGTAAAATGTCAAACCCCGTCCACCGGAATATTTTCCCCAGGCTTTCTTTTGTGGGGCTGTCTTTGATTTCAATTTTCTTATCGCAGATCATGTGTTATTGTCGTTTGTTAAATTGGGACAACAATGAAACCACATTTTTGGGGTAGGCAAAGGTCAAACCCTGACCTTTCCGGCAAGCCCATAAATATTATTACTGCCCTAGTCGATAATCTCTTCAAAGTTTTCGTCGCTCGCTGGTCCTTTAATGAATGTCAGAAAAGCACATAAACAAAATTTCAAAACCCACGCCCACCCACAACGCCCCCTGACCCACACAAACACACATGGGTGAAAGCCCAAAGCGAATGCGAAACAAAATGTGGCCAACTTTGACCTTTTCGAAAAGTGAAATAAACAAACAAATTGAAAGCAACACACAAAACAAATCCCGGACTTAGGGGCGGAGTGAGCGATGGGGCGTGGCCAACATGGCAGGACGAACTAATTCTCTGGCACTCCAAAAAAGGACTCAAAACACATTTTGGCTGGAATACAACGCATAAATCAGCGAAGATATGTACGATTTTGTCGATACGAAAGCGTTCACGACGAATTCAAAGGCTGTTGAGCGCAGAAGGAGGTTAAGTTTGTTTATTGTCTGGCCTGGGTAATGACTGCCCTGTCATATCAAGACTTCCCCCACCAACTCATGTGACTCCTAACGCAATACTACTGTTTCCTTTAGTGAATCCATGATTCACTCAGTTGTCTATTTCTGGAATCACCGTCAAAAAATCTCGATGCCTGTTATCCTCACACCCCATGACCTTTGTTGTCTTTGTCAAAACAAAGAAAAATATGGCCAAAAGTATTACGCATACGCCGCGTTGGCTGTATTTGCATAATTAGCATAAATTTCGGAAATATTGTAGGCGACACTTGGGCGCACTTAAATGTTATCTCCGCCCGCAGGAAAATCGATTCCGTCTACTGATCTAAATTAACATGAAAAATGAATCAGAAAATGGGAAAGGGACCAAGAAAAAGCACAAGTCGGAATCAAATAAAAATGTTTGCACAAACACAATAAAATTGGGGAAACGTTAACAGAGAAATGTCCGCAAAACAAATTTTTTTCTATCAGATTAACACAGGACAGCAACTCGCAGAGGAAATCGAAATGTTTTCGTTTGGGTATCTAAATGTGTAAAATAATAGTTAAATTTATTTAGTACCTGAATTTTTAGTTATTTCCAGCAAAGACTCATATTTTTTCTACTTGATAAAATTAATTAAATAGTAATAAATAGTAAAAAAAAAGTAATAAAATATCCAAAGAATAATTGTTACTGCGGTCTTATCCGAAAAATGTTTTAAAAAAATTTTATTACCAGGCAGTAGCCCAATTGGATTTCATGTCAACGACACTTTCACTGATTCCGCTTGGGTTCCCCACTCCCCAGTGAGAGAGAGAGTTAAAAAAAGAAAATGGTCTATTTTGGAAAATTCTGCAGCTCTGTCTCTGCTTTTTCTCTCGTAAAATGTGGAGGGACGGACATTAGCTGTCTGCTCGTTCAGTATCCCAGCCTCTCGAGAAACTTCCGAATGGCTTACGGCTATAATCCGGCAGTAAACTGAGTAATGTACCGCTAAGGCAAAAGGCCTCCTTTCGAACCCCCCAGAAGACCATTTTCCTGCTCCTTTGCGTCTGCCGATGTCCTTGGGCGGAATGCATTCCAATTGAGATTGAGAAAGAACGCAGCGGCATTCAAAGGAATCCGAGCGCGTTCCTCAAGGGTTCTCTTCACCAAAATATAAGAAGGGGTAGACGCAGATGGATAAATGAGAACAGGACTCTAGCTTTACGATTGCGATTTAACTGTCTCATTAGGAATAGTTCGTGCAGTTGGCGCTGCAATTACCGCATGGGGAACTGGAGAACTGGAGAAAGAAAATGGCAATGGATGCTCCATTGAACGTTGACAATCATCATCTCCCGATGGACTTGCATTTGGCAGATGGGGCGTATGCGTAATATGCATCCATAATCCCCCATGAAGTTCTTGCAGCTGTACAATGCGAGAAACGCACTGAATCGCTGGCAAATTGCAATAGGAATTTAACCAAAGTTGTGAAGAGTTTGGTGAAAAAGTTGTTGACCTCCTACGGGGTTGTTGGATTCTGCTTTCAGCTAGAATCCGGTCTGCATGTGCATATACTCGTATACTATACTATATAATACTACTTGGTGTATTTATATAATATGTTGTCGGGATTCAACATGCTAACTTTAATTACCTAACTAAAAACATACTTTGTTAGAAGCCCAGTTAACCATTACCTCATACAAAACTTGGGAAAACCAAGTCACAATTCATTAAATTACACACAACTCTTAATTACTCCCAAACACATAGATACGCATTGTGGTTGCCGAAGAATTGCATTCAAAGCCCTTCACTTCTCAAATAGGTCATAAAAGGCCAGCACCTCCCCCAAGTGTCAACTACTGAACTCACCTGTAACCAGGAAAGGGTGAGAGGAGCTTTGAGCTGGCTTTTAGAATTCCCCTGTTCTGTTTGCCTATTTTCCGGTATTTGATTATCTGATTTATTGATGGTTTGAGATTCGGTTTTTTAATTGACTTATTGCCGCTGAAATTTGCACTCGCGAGAGTTTCTCAGAGATGCGGTTGTATCTTACAGATGTGGATGTATCTCGAAGATGGGATGCGATGCGGTGTGGACTGATGCGATGCCCTTACGCGACTGAATTTCGGTGTGTTTGGTGCTCGGTGCTTTTTGGACTTCGGTCTGTTTCCTATTCGGATTTTTCGGTGTCCATCGGCTCTTTGTTCTCTCCGCTCGCAGTTGTATTTGTTTTTGTTGCTCCTGGAGGGCAAACAATTTCTGTTTTTGTGGGACAACCAGCAAACAAAAGCACAGGGAAACTGAATCAAAATAAATGCCTTAAATAATTGATGGCATTCCCAATGGCGGCCGTACGCGAATCGCCAATGTACATTATCAAATTTTTGTTAATCGCTAATCTGACTGAGTTTTCCAACTCAAGTGTAAGTTTGTTTAAAATTCAATTGAAGACTACCGTTTTATTCGCGACGCGCCAGAGAATCGGTTGAAAATTACACTGAGAAATAGAGACGTCCACTCCGCTGGTTGACTCGAACTGGATTGAAAAGCTGCCAGCCGCTTGCCGCTTGTATTTCCTCCTGCAAGAGAGTGGAAAACCGAGAGACAAAAAGTTCCATTTGTGGTCTTCCATTGACACCCTTTTTCCCTTTTCGGTGCCTTCGCCTGTTCCACTGTCACTTGTTCCGCTCTGGCTCTCTCTGAATTTGTCCAGCTGATTGCCCCTTCCAGGAGCCAGTATGTGATAGTATCTTCTGGATAAGGGTTTCACGCCAGTCAGCTGATTGAGTTCCCTATTTTGCAGTATTTTACTTACTTATTTCATTAAATTTTGAAATAAATGTAAAATGGTAGAAATTTAAACAATCATTTTTGATATTAACAAGTAGTTTGTTTAAAACATTTTTTGATATAGGGAATTCATTTGAAATAAATACTTTTTTTTTTACTATTTTTCCGGTTTTAAAGGATTAATAGCCTTTCATTTAAAAACCTACCTAAGTGCGGAAGTGTAAAGAATTGTTAACACATTTAAAGCTTCGAACATCCTTATCTTTGGGAAAAGCAACTATTTTGATTGGAAGAGTGTGCGAGCTTTCCTTCCAGTCCCAAAGCTCTGCCATGGCACCGACGAGGAAGAGTGATTGCTACCCAGCTTTTCTCCAGCGAAGCGGCTACCACGAGCTTTTACTCAACTTACTCAACAGCATTGAAAACGCGGTGCAGTTGTTGTTGCCCCGTTCGCCTTCTGTTCGCCAGCCACATCTGCCGCGTTTCATTGATGCCCAAATATAGGTCAACAATTTGTTCGAGAGCGGGTGGCTGGCTGGGTGGTTGCCTTGAAGGGGGTGGCGGGAGGTGGAAGTGTTACATCGCCAACTGAATTATCAGTGTCAGCGAGCGAGTGCAGCGGTGGATGCGATGCTGCTATCTGAGATACACGGCAAACATTGTAAATTGCTCGCCTGACGATGATTGCTTGGGGTTCACCTCGCAGCTGGCAACTCAGAACAAATTGCCCGACATTGCGCATACGCCGCGTTATCGGCGTGGAATTTATGACGGCACACTCGCCTTGTATTCATGTCCTTTGGCCAGCAGCCGCCGACTTTAATTGAATTTTTATGCGCCACCAGCAATCCGCGAAACGTCAGGGAAAGTGAAAAGTCTTTGCTGTCATCTTCGGCCCTTCTTTAATTTTTCTACGCAGAGAAAAAAATGTCTATGCAGAGGGAGAAATTAGGCTTTTGAAGACTTTGCAAGTTTGTTTAATAGTTTGTTCGCTTTCGGTAGCTGTAAATGTTTCTGCTTCTAACCTTTTATGTTCCTTAAGTAGTAACTATATTCACTGAAATGTTGCAATTTAACATGCATAGATACGTTTATTAAATCTCAAGAATATACAGCACCCCATTTTATTCTCAGTGCAAAGCCACCTTGGGCTCCTTCTTTGCTTCTGTCCGCCGACGGATTAGTGACGTCCGAAATTGGGTCAAAAGCTGAGTTCGCTCAGCTGGCTAAGCTGCCCGACTCGTCCGCATGTTGCTCCTGCTAAGCACACTCGCAGGATAATCCTAATTGCGCTTTTAACGCGCAACTCTCGCCCCTCACGCGAGCTTTCCAAGAGGGTTCGTTGCATTCCGCCAAGGACTCGCTATCGCTGCGAGGGGATTAGGGCTTGCAGCTGGCAGGATTGGCAGCCACATCCTTTTGCGCCCGGGAAAGTCACTCCCCAGATGCCGCAGATACTCGTACTCGCGTCTTCCGATGAGTTTCGCCGGCACGTGCCTTCGCTGTCCCCATGGGCACCTGCAATTTATTACAGCCACTTGAAGCTACTCCCTCGCTTATCGTCAAAATAATCTTCTGACAACGGTGACGTTGCGGCCAAAAGAAAAGTCAGGGGGGGGCCAAATGTAGTATCAACGAGCAAAATGTGAACTGCCGTCAGTCTGGCAGCGCTCAAGTCGCAAATCGGCTAGTAGAGTACTTAAAGATACATTCGATAATCTCTTCTGCAATGAAATCAATTGGAAAAAGAAATGCAATATTTGTTTGTTAAGTTATAGCTTATGTTTGGGTTGTTTTAATCCTTTAATTGCTTATCAAGCAGACTGTGTGTTTTTAGATTTGGTGAGCACGGTGTAAAAGCAAACGGTCACATGTCGTATGAGTAATATTTGCGTGCGAGCTAATGCGTTAACAAATATGATAAAATCAATTGACTTAATAAGACTATGCATTTTATTTACAAAAGACTAGACTTGCACTTCAAGTAAAGTAAATTGTGTTTATTTGCTACTAGTAGTATCTCGCCCACAGGTTGCTGAATAAACAAACCCGCTCAATTATGATTATAACGCTTAACAAATTACGACCGATAGGCAAACAGCCTTGCGAATGACGAATTTCAACAATTGTTAAACTGATGGACTCCCTAATCTTTGTTGAAATCGAAATTTATGGATCGAAAACATTGCATGGGGTGAAAGGCAGAAATTCCAGAAATTCTTTTCAGGCTTTTCTTTCTACTTGTGATACCTATATCAATAAGTCGAACTGCGTAGTACCTTTGTACATATTTTTTTTTTTTGTTACTGAAGCCATTAATAATTTGAAATTGATTAATCAATTTAGTTGTCAGTCAATGAATTATCAATAAAAAAAGATTTATTGATGTAGAAAAAGAAAACAAGCTACACAGTATTCAAAAAGATTTAGGGCCTTAATATAACTGAACTATAATTAATTAAAATGCTATGCATATTTTAAAATGTATTAAATTTATAAAAAGACTTAAAAATCTCTTCCTGCTAAAGCCAATTCGAAGCAATATGATATGTTTTCTAATAGCACATATTGGTACTTTCCCCGAATCGCAATAAAATGACTCTGGCCATCTGCAACCCCTCATGGCCAGGTACTTCAGATTGCATTCAATTTTTATTAGCCTGCGTTATCCACGGGGTACGCAACACTCATGATCCATCACATGACTCATGGTCAGGGTCAGTTATGTGAAACTCGCATTTAAGCCAATGTGCTAGATAAGCAGCGATTCGTGAGATACACGGTTATACGGCTAATCATGACGTATGCACAATGCATGAGGTGTGGTGAGCAACGGCATGTCCCTTGGAAGCCGAATTTAAACTGCGCTGAGAGCGCGCCATATGGAGACAGGGACGATAAGGGCTTCCAAAAAGCATTCAATATTCATTATCAGGCGAGATAACAGTTGGCAATACTCACTTCGCCAGCCGAAGCGTTCGAGGGCCCCGTTAAACAGAGCCCAGACGTTTGCGAGACTCCGAACCGAACAGAACTACAGAAAACTTCGATTTAAAGCGGCTGTGGCAACAGAACCGAAATCTTTGGGCAAATATTTGCCAATTAAGAACCGTCGACGGCGCGTGTGTCTGTGAAGTGGGGTGAAGTGAAATTGGCCGGGCCAAAACAACCAGCCATGTCCGAATTTGTGCGGCAACATGTAAGTGCGAATCTTAAAACCAACGCGTATAGCTCGACTTCCTAGTTGTCGTGGCAATTTTTCCCATCCATTCGCTCTGGTTATCAGAAAATTACTATGATAACCGTATCGTTTTATCACATTTCTTTGGCAGGGCTCTGCTTTACGCCCATCATGGGTCTCATTTTAATTTTAAACTTCCCTTCTGTTATCACCTACACTCGCCTACACGTGGGGTGTTAATTGGAATGTAGTAATACATGTGATTATGGGCATAAAGTATTTACGAGCAGGTAGCCTAACAGAAGATTGTGTCCGTCACGGGCTCAAAAGTGTCTCGAGTTTGATTTGCAAAATACAACCGAAAATAACACTTTATAAATTCCGTATACTTCCTCTCGGAGCCAATTTCTTATCGAAATCTAGGCCAATTATCGACTGAATTTAGTCGCTCCAGGAACAGAGATAGGAAAAGCCTATTAAAACACTTTGGCCTAAGTAAACTCGAAACAACTTAATTTAAAATGCATTGCGCTTGATTAGTTTTGTCTTATCAGTCTGCTTTTGTTTGTATTTTCTAATTCCACTGAACATGAAAAATTCAACCATTAGCCGAGCCGACTAATGGTTAAATTATTTTTGAGAACTCGCAATTATGACTCATTGCTTAAGAGGTGATCTCATGGTCGAACGCTTCAGTATAAGCGACTGATTTTAAGGCAGTATTTATGGCTAAAGGAAAGTTCTAAATTACAAATAGATCGATTTTTTATTGCAGGTGCTCATGTCATGTTTGGAAAATAGGTAATGGGTGACATCAACTGATTTGGCTTCTATTGGTCTTTAATCTTATCTTGAGGTAGATAAGCCATGTCGTAGAAGATCGATACCAAAAATCGAATTACATAGCTTACATAGCTTAAATGTATTTTAAAAATGTATGCACTTCGTGATGACCCCTACGTTTTTTAGCAATTATTACTTGTTTGGCTGCCATGTCATGTAGTCTTCTTCTCTGCACAGTTTAATTCCAAAATGCCGATAAAACCTTTTTGTGTATCGGCATTCCGCCGATAAGATAACGCCCGGCAACAACTACTTTTATTTGCAAATGTTGGCTACCGTTTGCTTTCATTACCCTTATTTATTCGCCTATTTCTAAGCAATTTATATAAAGCAGACAAAGCAAAGTCTTTGAAATTCCTTTGGGTGTGGCACAGCTATAAAATAGATCTATGTTTTATTGGATATTTCAGAGTCCCACGGGTAAATTACCTTACAACGCATTGCACACATTTCTTCTCTTCGAAGTTTCTTAGTTCGATTTTATTTCAATAATGAAGTTGGCTGTCGTTGACCGCTGCCCTAATAAAAGTGTCATATCCAGATAAGCCTCTGTTTAGTTTCCAGGCTTTATTGCTCACTTTATGGACAGTCGGGAATTTAAATTTATAAACTTCCAATGTTGAATTACCGCTCAATGTAATATGGTCTTATCAGTATTTACATTGAGATATGACCCACTACCAGTTACCAATAAAACGTTTTGAATTGCCACGGGTTGATATTGGGCATGTTAGATTCTGATGATAATTAATTGATTTCCATGACTTTAA